CTGAGTAGCTAGGATTACAGGCGTGAGCCACCAGCGCCCGGCGCTTTTTTGGTTTATGTGGCACTCTGGAATCAAACCCAGGGTGTCATGCATACTGTGCAAGCACTCTACCACTAAGTCATATTCCCAGCCCCTTGGATTTTGTTTTGTTGTTGTTTTTTTTCTTTTGTAGTCTTAAAATTGGAAGTATATTTTCTTGCTTTGTGAAACAAAGAAGTGGAAATGTTTTACAAATTTTCTTCATTTCTTGCATATTATTACCAATTTACCCATCATGAGCATTCCTTTCCTTTTCAGCACTATTAAAAAATTATTTATGTTGCCAGGCGCTGGTGGCTCACACCTGTAATCCTAGCTACTCAGGAGGCTGAGATCTGAGGATCGTGGTTCAAAGCCAGCCCGGGCAGGAGAGACCGTGAGACTCCTATCTCCAATAAACCACCAGAAAACCGGAAGTGGCGCTGTAGCTCAAGTGGTAGAGCGCTTGCCTTGAACTGAAGAGCTGAGGGACAGCGCCCAGGCCCAGAGTTCAAGCCCCACCACTGACCAAAAAAAAAAAATTATTTATTTATGACATACTGAAAATAAGATTATTTAAATGGTTTCACAGAGAGATGGATCGTTGTAAAAGCTTCTTCATAATAGGAAAGAAAAGGTGGCTCTGGTGGCTCATGCCTATAATCCTAGCTACTGGAAAAATGAGATCTCAGTCATGGTTTAATCTGGGTAAGATTAAATCCAAAGCCAGAAGTAGAGGAGTAGCTAAAGTGGAAGGTGTCATTCTTGAGTGTAAAAAGGCCAAGTAACAGCCAGCCGGGTGCCCGTGGCTCATGTCTGTAATCCTAGCTACTCAGGAGGCTGAAATCTGAGGATCCTGGTTCAAAGCCAGCCCAGGCAGGAAAGTTCATGAGACTCTTATCTCCAATAAACCACTAGAAAACCGGAAATGGTGCTGTGGCTCTAGAGGTAGAGTGCTTGCCTTGAACTGAAGAGCACAGGGACAGTGCCCAAGCCCAGAGTTCAAGCCCTAGGACCGACAAAAGACAAAAAGAAACAAAACAAAAAGGCCAAGTACCAACACAGAAAAAAAGAGGTGGGGAAGGGAATTGTTCTCAACTCTCATTCCACAGTAAGTGGAGATTTAGCCTGGTGCTTGTAGCTCCCTCCTATAATTCTAGCTACTCAGGAGGCTGAGATATAAGGATCAAGGTTCAAAGCTGGCCCAAGCAGAAAACATCCCCGTGAGACTCATGTCCAATTAACTACTCAAAAAACAGAAGTGGTATTGTGGCTCAAGTGGTAGAGTGCTAGCCCTGAGCACAAAGAAGCCAAGGACAGCACCTAGGCCCTGAGTTCAAGCTTCACAACCTAACAAAAAAAAAAAGTTATTTATAACCAAGGTAGGATCAACAAGCAGAAGATTACTAAGAAATTATCAAAGATAGTTTCTGGCAGAGCTGATTTTTATTATTTGAAGACACACTGGTAAAATTCCAAGGTTGGAGAATTTTGCTAAACCAAGTTAGCAGGATTCTCCCTTAAATTGTAGTATAAAAGGGCAGAGATGTAAGGGATTCACAGTTTGTAATCCTAGCTACTTGGAAAACTGAAAATGGAGAGATTGTGGTTCAAAGCTAGCTCAGGCAGAAAAGTTTGAGGGACCTTGTCTTTTTTTTTTGGTCCAGACATGGGGCCTGAACCCTGGGCCTGGGCGCTGTCCCTCAGCTCTTCAGCTCAAGGCGGAAGTGGTGCTGTGGCTCAAGTGGTAGAGTGCTAGCCTTGAGCTGAAGAGCTGAGGGACAGCACCCAAGCCCAGAGTTCAGGCCCCATGACCAGACCCAAAAAAAGAAAAGAAAATGACCAGCAAGAGGGC